TCCAGCTCTCTGGAGTCAGACAGACTCTGATCCTGACTCCTGGATTTCATCCTTTTCTCTTATTTTTCACCAAACCGCCGCGCTGCGCTTCATTCACGTCTTTACTCCCGCTGACATGTCAGTCTGTGCGCGCTGCTCAAAAAAAAAAAATAAATAAAATAAAATAGATAAAAATAGATCAACAAAAGGAGGAAATCTGTCTCTGCGGTCCCTTCTTTCCCCAAACCGGAACGTATTTTCTTCCTCCGACTCTCATCCACGGTTCGGATGGATTCTGTGGAGGTCTTAGATTCAAGTGTCACTTTCCTGATAGTTGGCGCACAACAACTGGATCCGTGCTGAGTCTGTCCCGCTGGTGCGCCTCACATTTGTTGGGAGAGAGGAAGGGAGGGGCGGGGGGCGCACAGCGTCACAGAGAAGCGGAGAGATCTGCGCTTATCTGCGAGACGCTGGAAAGGAGAAAGATACGTGTTTTTTTTATTATTATTATTAATATTATTGACTTTTTTTTTTTTTAAAGCAGGCGGCCAGCATATTATTTTCCAGACTCCTGAGTCTGAGCTTTAACTGGGCCATTCATTAGCATACTTTAAGCAAAAATAATTTATATTTTATTTGTCCTAGATCCTTTGGATCCATCCTGATCTATGGTCAGTCAGTAACACGTTTTCTATCAGCATCCCCCGCATCCTGATGCTGCCACAACCAAGTGTTACATTGAGGATCTTGAATTCAACGTGATTTGGAGTATTACACTTTAACACGGGGTTCTGGCTATTTGCCAAACAATTTAATCCTCGAGTCCCTTACACGAACTGAGTGAGCTTTCTTGTGACCATTTCTTGCGACTCTACCATGATGTACCTGAGCTGTAGATCAATGCAGTTATTCTTTAATTATCATGTACTTCTCTCTCTTCTCTGATTAATGTCTACCTTGCTGAATGCTCTCAAATGACCAAGATCCGCGGGTCGTTGGTTTTGCGTGTCATTTTGTTTCAAACGATCATTCGTGAGTTTGACATTTTTTCTGTCATTTACTTGACTTCTGTGTTGTTCAGTCATCTTTCTGTTTCTCAGTGATAACTCTGGTCACTTATCCCCTCAGTTCCTCAGTTATCCCCTGACTCAGTTGATTAAACCTGATCCAGTAATCACCTCCCCACAATTTAAGCCTCTCTGTTTCAAGTCGCTACTTTCCAGATCCTTCCATTATTAGGTCTTGTTCGGTGTTGTCACTTTTAAACTGCAAGTTCTGATTTCTCCTTTGAGTTTGTTCTGATGATTGTTTGTTTTTCTTTCTTTCTTTCTATAAATATGTTCAAGCTAACCAGCCTCTGACTGAGACTCTATAGATAACTTCTAAACGGGATTTTATTTATCTGTATTAGCGTAAGAGGGGGTTAAATACAAATGCCAACCACACGGTTTAGATTTTTCCTTGTAAAAACAATTGCACAAAATCTCAACGAACTCAATTAGCTTGTCATTTAAATGTGATGAAATATGAAAAATAAATAAATAAATTGGGGTGTAAATACTTTTTCAATGAATTGTATACTGAGAGTTGTTTGAAAAAAAAAAAGAAGAAAATTTACCAGCTTTTTGTTTAACAGCGACCCTTTGTTAATCCTCTTATGTGATTAGCCTCTGGACGGCTCTGGCTTATTTATTTACCTGATTATATTTTTGCAATCACCAACATGTTCCTGTTTTTTTTTTTTTTTTTTTCTATTATTGTAGACAGAAACGTATCAGTCTGCTGCTAAATTCACTGAAAACCTTGAGTAGAAAATCCTCCCCCAAAGAAAGCTGGATGAATCGGATTCACATCTCTGGGAAAACTCACACAGCTTCCTTGTTCCCGGAACCACCAAATGTGTCCCGTTAAATATAAGCCTTTTATCAGACGAACACTGATTTTTAAAAAGCGTCACTAATGGCTGCCACCTAAGAAGCGCAGTACCAGTTACAGAAATTAACTATTTATCAGCATTTCTGATTTTTTTTTTTTTTTTTTTTACCCAATTCAGTGGCACACCCTCTATTTGTGAGCATGTTTCCTCGGTGTTTGAATCAATAGGAAGGAGAGAAACCCATTGAGGTTCTGGACGGGTAGCAGCAGTTAGCGCCGCCATAATTAGCTCCCACTGGTTTCGCTTATAATCATGCTGCGTTCAATTTGTCTCGGAAAGTCGGAGCTCGGATACCGGAACTGGTTGCGTTAAACCAGAGGGGCTCTGCTAACCGAGGTGAAGCTCACAGCTGCTAGCAGAAGAAAACCAGGGCCAGAGAAGCTGGCCCTGGTTTTCAGACCCCTGAAAGATATATGTTCAAAGAAATGCTTTAATTTAATGAACATGCTAATACGTGGCCAGAGTTGTCAGAGTAACAACTTGAATAGAGAATCTGCAGGTGAAGCTAAAGGCCTTCAAACGAACAATATCAAATTAACACATGGTAAAAGCTGGTTAGCAATTATGAGAAGAGTTTGATTTGATTATTTGAAAAGGGTATAAATCATTTTCAACATGGATGTTTTTTTTTAATAAAATGTGTTTTTTCCCTCTTTTACATTGTTTTATCTGTATGCTATCTAAAAAAACTCATCTGTCATCATTCTGTCATTTAGCAAATGAAAAATCATCATGGGATTCCCAAATGAAGCAATGGAAAAAGGCCTCACTTCCTGTCAGTGAGGTGTTATACAGTGCATGTAAATATCTGAAGTTGGTTGAAGGTCTTTCTGAATCATTTCCAGTGAGTTGAACAGACGAGTTCTGCTGTTTTTGTAGATAATCCTTCCCTGACGTGAGAGTCGGGATGTTAGTTCACGTGTTTGGCGGACAGAGCCAAGCCTCAGCCGGCGTGTTAAACCGTGTGACTCCACATTAACGCTGCTGCGTATTCATGAAGTTTCATTGGAGCATATCAGCCTCCTCATCAAATATTCATCTGGGTGGAGATGGCATCCTTTGTCTCCTCCGAACACCCACTACACACTTTATTTAAAATAGTTTTTCTCTCTGGGCTGCAGCCTGGAAACAAACTTGGCTCCTTTAGAAGACGCTGGTTTATGACGTTTACTACGACAGCTCATATGTGGAGTGAATTTGTCAGTCAGAGGATTATTTTTCAGAGTGCGTTACAACCCTCTCCGAGCATCAATCAGAGCTTGTTATTGGTTATCTGTCAGCTCCGCTTTCCACGGGCGCTGAACTTCTCCGTAAAGGAGGTGAACAAACATCAATACTGCTGGATTTACTAGTCCTAGGGCACAGAGTGCATTTAAATACCTCTCCGGAACAGCTTTGCTTTCTGCCTCTCCTCTTTTTGATTATATCTCACTGGGCCTCATTTTTCTGTCTCTTCATTCTCCATATTTCTCCTTTGTCTCCAGTCTTTCTCCTGCAGCCCGTGGATTATTTCTCTTGGTCTTCCGACAGAGGACGTAATAATCCCTCACTCGCCTGCCTGTCTTTTTTTTTTTTTAAAAGCACTCTGTTCATCACCAACAAGCATTAGTTTTATTTTTTTTCTTCCTGGAAAAAAGGATTTCTCTTTTTCTGATGTTTCATCATTTTATTTGAGGGATATTTTCCAAGTACTTCCAGAGACAAATAGCCACTTTCCCAGGAGTTGGAGATGGATGTTTGAAAACATAACATTTCCTTATATTTTATGGCTTTGTTTGAAGAAAAAAATATGTTTTGCACGCGTTTATTTTCTATTAAAATACTTTTTATTTTACCAGGTCCCAGGAGATCCCAACCAAGGTTTTGATGTCTTATTTCTTGCTCCTTACTCTTTAGTCAAAACAGATTAAACATTTTCAGCAGTACTGACTGCTGAAAAAAAAACAAAAAAACAATGGAAAACTTTTTCACAATGTAATTAACAGGAAAGCTGCAGCTTGTGCACCCTGATTCCTAATATAGCCCTGGGCAAACACCCGTATCACCAGCCGCCACCCATTTTGTTGACTGTGGCTCCTCAACGGGTAGAGAGTAGTTATCCTGCAGCTGGAAATGCAATTGTCACATTTTGAAATTACTTATGTTCTCATTTACTCGCTCGCAAAACTGTGACCATGTTTGTTCACAACTTTTACCAGAAGTCCTTCAAACTAAATCAGCTCTTGCATCCTGCACCAAACACAAAACCCCCTGGATATTTTCAAAGCTCTTTTTCCACGAAACACGACTCGGCCGAGCCCAGACGCGCTCCATCTACCTGGAGACAAGCCTCACATTTCACAGCTGCTAAACGGGGAAACTCGGGAGAAACAAACGACCCCAGACAAAAAAAAAAAAAAAAAACAAAAAAACGTTTGTTTTCAGTCGCTGTATTCATCAAAAGAAAACACCTTTCACTGCTGAGTGTAGTGACCGAGCGCACATTCACTGATCTGATGAAAGGTTATGAAAGAAACTTGATGTGGCGATGTATCCATCATCTGAGAAAAAAAAATTAAGTTGGAAAAGAATGTTTATTTAAAAAAAAAAAAAAACATAAATACACCTACAGGATTTAGAGATGACAGACAGGCCATACACTGGATAAAATTGCATAATTAATTGTTGACTTTAAACCAAAAATAATCACCTCAGAGAGTTTTATATCAAGGTTCTTTGTCCCGCTATAAACAGTCATAATTAGTGCCAAAACGCACACAGGTGTGTGTGTGTACACCTCAACACTTCCAGGTTAGTTTGTTAAAGAGAAATGACGGTAACAGTAGCAGGGATATCTCATTTAGCTGTCGTCAGTTTTTAATCACTTTGCGGCGTCTTCGACTCAATCACCTTATTGTTCTACGCTTCATCAGAAATAAAAGTAGAAAATACTTCAGAGAACCAGAGGTTTTGTTTCTTTTTACATTCACTCCACTCCAGATTTTCAAGAGCAAAAAAAACAACCTAAAAATCAACAAGAGTCACTCGGGTCAAAACGGCTCAGAACCACCATCACCTCAGCTTAGGGAACACAGAAAACCTAAAATGTCATGAACTGGGATTATTTGAACAGCAGGAGGAATACTTTTTGTTCCCCTGTCAGTAACAGTCCAGCTGATTGCATTCAGACACCTCCAAAACCACAGAAGAAGAAAGCGTGGACAGGGACTGGACTGCTGCGTCCGGGTCGGCCGGCGCGGCGTCCGTCGGTTTTCCACCGCTTGGTTTACTTTGACAAAGGTTGTGGAAATGGAAAGAACCGTTGAGGACTTGTCTGGTCTGTGTGTGAGTGTGAGTGTGTGTGTGTGTGTGTGTGTGTGTGTGTGTGTGTGTGTGTGTATGGGTCCACATGCACATGAAGGCCAACCCAAAGGCTCAGGAGATGGTGGAGAACTCTTTGAGCAGCACGTCCTGACTCAGCGTGTTCAGAGAGACGTTCTTCCTCACGTTCAGACTGATGGAGCGCACCTGCAGACAGAAACGGTCGTCACCGGAGAGAAAACACACACTCCCACCGAGCCGAGGACACACACGCACACACGCACGCACACAGCCTTCTAGCGCTCCTAAAGCTAAATTATTCCAAGAAAAGGCAGTGGGCGGCAACAGGCAGCTTGTTTGTTTCTTGAATGCACTTCCGACTTGGTAGTTTGAAAAATATTTGAAATAAATATGTTAATTCTATATTTCTATAGACAAAATAATACAAAAAATTTGGTAACACTTTATTTGAAGGGCTGTGCATAAGACTGACATAACAAAATGATCATAAACAGATGGAGTCTTCATGAACTGGTGTCATGAAGTGTCGTTCGGTAAATAATGACACTTTTAATGTAAAGTTGCACTAGAAGTTGCATAAAAAGTGTAAACTTTGCATTATTTGGTCAATAATGATCCTTTTAATGCAAAGTTCTATTAAAAGTCCATTAAAAGTGTCATCATTTACCAAATGACACTTCATGAAGACTCAGTTCATAAAGACTCCTTCGTGTTCATAACAGATGTTATGTCATGTTTATGACAGTGTCATGTCAGTCGTATGTACACCCCTTCAAATAAGGCGTTACCAAAAATTATTACATCTTAAATGTAAATGAAAGTTAATCTGATCTTATTAGTTTAAAAAGTGGTCAAAAAACACAAACAAAAACACAATACGCCCCCCTGGTGTGTTATTAACCTCTTAAATTAATTGGATGGTCTCAGAGTGACCAAAGTAACTAAATGTGATATTCATCACAGAGTGGGGTTTCAAACTGACTGCCTAAAGAAAAAGCTACACTGATGGAACTTAAGATTTACAAAAATTCAACACAACTCTTCCATTAGAGACGCTGCAAAAACAACAGACTGACAGGCTGCGGACGGATAGAGCGATGATGAAAGGAGAGAGGATGGACAGACGGAACAGCAGACGAATGGATGGTTGGAAAGACAGATGGAGAGATTAGTGAATGACAGGACGGACGGGGAAAACTGAAGCGCGACGGACAGCGGGGCTGGGTGAGGAGAGAGACGAACGCATCGGGTCTCTCACCAGCTCCTTGAAGAACGCAGCTTCTTTTGGCTGCTCTGAATATCTCTCAAACTGGTCCAGACCGTCCTGCAGCTTCAGGGTCAGAGTGTCGTAATTGGAGCGGACCACCTCCAAAACCTAAAGAGGTGAAAAACAAAAAATAAGAATAATGATAAGAGAAATACGGGTCGCGAAAACAAAGCGCTATATGATTCAAATAAGTTCCCGTGTCTCAGGGTGACACGGTGAAACAGAGAGAGGAAACGTAAATTATTGATGAGTTTTTAAATACTTCACTGCATTATTTTATTCATGAAGGATCATGTGGAGAGACGCGATGCTTTGTGGTGCAGACCACCAACCGGGCAACTAAGTGTCATTAACAGACTGCAATCCTGCCCAGATTAATCTCTCTGCGTCTCATAGCTTCTATTAATCCTCAATTTTTAACCTAATTTATTATTTTGGTGCTTTTATTTATTTTTTTAACCACCAAAGATCAACATCAAGACCAGAATCAAAGTGCTTTCCATGAGGAAAACTTTGCTGTGGTATAATAACCAGATGAATGGACTGGTTAATCCTCGACTAACCAGCAATCCTATTTACTGAGAGGCTGAAAATAATCTGGCTGCTGTCAGAGGTCAAAGGGCACTGCAGCTTTAAAAGTTGTATTTTAGGAATACAATTTCTACTAAATATGCTTTTTGTATCTTTTTTATCCTTCCACGGTATAAATAATGTTTTTTTTCTTTCTTTGCATAAAGGCGACTTGCGCAGATGGTTGAGTTTGTAAAACACTTTGATGAGAACAGGTGGCTTGACTCTTCAAAAATATATTTTGTTGATTCATTTGTTTGATGCACTTGCATGAATAATTAATCCAAAGAGACCTCAGACAAACACATACGAGCCGAACGTTCAAACTAGTCCCTCCTGCTTGTTCCCGTGTTTCGGCCCCAGCGGACTCGGAGCTTTTCTAACGTCAATGCAGTCGGATTCGGTGTCGTTTCAACAGATGTGAACCAAACAACGTTAAACATTTGTCTACTATTTATTCAATTTAAAAGCCAATTAACTTTTTGTTTTGTTTGTTTTTTTTAATTCACAGCGAGTGCCAAATAGATCCTGTTCTGCTTGCTGTTTCTCTTTCAGTCTCTCTGGAAGTACGGCGTTAAAATATTCATGGCCACACATCTCGTTCCTTAATCTGCCTGCTCTTTTGTCACAGCCCCGCTGCTACACGTGTGCAAAACAACAAAAAAACATAAAAATTTGTACAGCAAAGTTTGACCTCCAACTTCTGATGGGAAAAACTGAAGAAAGCAAAATGGAAAACTAAGCAAAAAAAAGAAAAAAAGCTATAATCGTCAGGTTTTTTTTCTGTTTGAAGTCATGAATAAATAATAATTAGCAGAAAACACAGTGAAGCTTTTGATCCTGTGTGACGTGAATTCAGTGTTTGTGCTTACAGGGATCGTCCATCTTCCACAATTGTAAGGACATGGAAATTCAAGGTTTGTTTCATTTTATAAAACAAACAAAAAAAAAACACTTTGGCTGAGGGACAGAACGTGACAACGGAAAGGCAGAAGAGCTCTCGTCTCTTCAGGTCAACGCTGCTCAGTTTGGACCATTTCGCTCAGTAAATCGTACGGCCGGTTAACTCTACTTTAGTGTTTCTAATTTCTTTACAAATGCCACATGTTTCAAAGTAGCTGTTCTTTCATCACTTTACTGACAAAAACCGTGCAGAAGGTCGGCCTGCGTTTCATTCTGGGGAAAGACGAAATATCTGAGAAAGCTTTGTGGGAACTGCTGCTGCTGCAGCTCCTGGCAACAAGATGAGAACTGCAAAAGCCAAATCAGGAAAATATCCTCTAAAAATGAAATGACAGGAACCAGAGATGCAAAGATAGAAAAATTCTGGTCGATATCCTACTGCTGCTATCGAAAATGAAGATAACCAACATGTTGTGTATCTCCATACCAGTTCAACAGAGTGCAAACGGAAGGAGGTTGTAAGAAATGCGTTTAGAAACCTTTATTCATGTCATTGTGTGTGTCATTTTCTGCTTTAACGCTGCATTTCTGGGTTCTTCACTATTATTCTTTTATTTACCACTTTCCACGTTTTCTACCTTGCAGCACTTCGTGAACTAGATATTTTTCGTCTTTTTAACTGACCGTCCTTTTATATGTGCAGTCAGGGACGCTGTGTGGCTTAAAGGATCAAACTGGGATCAAATTTTCCTTCGTGACCCTTTTTAAAATTATGCACCAGTGTTCGCCGCTGTTCAGTAAAACCTGCGTGCCGACAAAAGGGTCAGCATAAAGCAAAAAGCTTAGTCAGGAGGTTTGGGCAGGGCTTTAACCCCCTTTGGCCCCTCTTTGAGTTTCTAAATTCATCTACAGTACAGCGTGCTGTAACCGGCTGCTAAAAGCACAGCTGGGGTTTCGTTGGGTTTGAGGCTTTCATGAATGTTTCATTTGTTTTTCCTGGTTTTCTTTTGGTTTTGTTACAGTAAATATAACATAAAAGCCCAAAAAAAAAAAGAATTACATCTAATGCTGCAATGTATTTTTTTTTATATATCTTCAGATAAAATCCACTAAATCAAATAGTAAACACACGTTGAACATATTCAGAAAACATATTGCGCTATATTAGACCGCTACAACCGATCGTAGAAACAAGTCGTAGATGTTTAATGTGTTTCTGGTTGGATTCAGTGAAAACATGCAGATGGTGAGGAGCGTTTTTGCATCCAGTGACAGTGAAAAAGTATTTACTCCCCTCACAGAATTCATGAAATGTTGCAGATCAAACTCATTTAGACAAGTTTTCATATCTGGTAATGAGTGTTTCCCATTGCTGTAGATTGAAATCTGCTCCACTTTTCTCTAGACAGAGCATCGTTTTGATTCGGCAGATTTAAGCCCAGACTTTGACTAGGCCACTCCAAAAGCTTAACTTTGTTTTGCCATCCAGTGACAAAACAAAAAAAAAAAAAAAAAAAAAAAAAA